TGTAATTACATCTGTTTTGAGCAGACTCCTGGAAGGAAGGGTCCTGTGGTTCCTGGCCAGTGGATCTCCAACCTGGAGATGGTTTTGCAGAGATAACAGGTTAGAAAAGAAGATGACAATTTTTTTTTTTTTTTTTAGATTTTATTTATTTATTCGACAGAGAGAGAGACAGCAAGAGAGGAAACACAAGCAGGGGGAGTGGGAGAGGGAGAAGCAGGCTTCCCGCCGGGCAGGGAGCCCGATGCGGGGCTCGATCCCAGGACCCCAGGATCACGACCTGAGCCGAAGGCAGATGCTTAACGAACTGAGCCACCTAGGTGCCCCAAGAAGATGACAATTTGCAGGCTTAATTTAATAGCTTTCAGGTGGGGGTGGAGGTGATGACATCAGGGAAAAGAAAAGATAGGTTTGGCCCCGTGGCTCACAGCCATATTCTTAGGCTCACTACATTTGAAATTGGATTGTGTGAGCAGGAGAGTGCTTCTCAGCAGGTTTGAAGGAAAAGGTACTCTGTGAAGTAAGAACCCAGGTCTCTGCAGCCTGTGGCATGATGGATCCCTTATCCTAAGGCAGGGCAGGAGACCCGGGTCTGATTCCCAGGCCCAGTCTGGCCACTCGTCTCGATGGGATGTCATCACCCCTTCTTTAAGTTTTACTTTTGACTTTAATAAAAAGAACATAACTGTCCTGTCTCTGTGGATTGCCGTATCAAATAAAATAATGCTGAAAAATGCCCTTTGTTGTACTGTTTAAGATAATGTTACTACATTTCCAATCTGATTGCTGTGATTCTCTGTTGACCTTCTGATCCTGAAACAGGGATCTGGTCACTGACTCATGAGTAAACCTTGCATTTTCCAGGCCTCAACCTTCATTTGGGCTAAGAACTCCTCTCTCTTTTCCTTGTTCAAATTCCCCTGCACTCTTTACCTAATTAAGCTCTAAATCTTAACTCTTCCAGTATCCTAATAAAGTAGTTTTAAACTAGTGAACCAGTCTTCCTTTCCTTTTTCCAAATGAGGGGCAGAGTCCACCCTCAACTGTGGTGTCCAGGAGTGACCAAATTTATCTTAGTATGGATTTCCATTAACACCTTTTGATTTGCCTGCAGCCAGTCTCCCAAATCAGAGGTCAGAAATAAGGTTTTAACATGGACTTTGGCTCCAGTGTCTCAGTATAAGAAGGTTCTGTGCATAGAAGGGAGAAATGGAATACCTGTCAGGTAGATGATGTACTTTTAGAAGTCTGTCATGTAGGGGGAAGGTGCTTGGTGGAAATTAGATAAGTGACTTTAGTCATTCCAGAAATTTTAATAACTTCAATTTCCAATTTTACATAGATTTGAAATATAACTTTGCTCGCTTTTGGTTATCAGAATTAAAACAATATAATTTTTCATAGTAGGAAAAAATGGGTAAGAATTTACTAGTTTGAAAAGAGTCACTGGGATTGTTCTCTTCCAAACACTTTGGGATTTTTTCAAGAAAGATTCTAGGTGGTTTGTTTTGCTTTCTCCACTTTTATACTGTCATAATGATTTATCAATTCTGTTTTTTAGCTCCCTCTTAATTGTTTCATAGTTTGCAGATAAGCCTTTAAAAGCATGGTAATCAGAATTGAATGTGACATTTAAGTTTTTAATTTTTTATTAAATTTTTTATTTTAATTCCAACATAGTTAACACACGGGGTTATATTAGTTTCAGGTTCAACAATTCTATACCTCACTCAGTACTCATCACAACAAGCGCACTCCTTCATCCCTGTCACCTATTTCACCCATCCCCCCAACCCCCTCCCCTCTGGTAACCCTCTGTTCTCCATAATTAAGAGTCCATTTTTGGGTTTATCTCTTTTTTTTCCCCCTTGTTCATTTATTTTGTTTCTTAAATTCCACATGAGTGAAATCATATGGTATTTGTTTTTCTCAGATTATTTCACTTAGCATTATACTCTGTAGCTCCATCCATGTTGTTGCAAATGGCGATTTCATTCTTTTTAGGGCTGAATAATATTCCCTTGTATATATGCCACAGCTTCTTTATTCATTCATCTACCAGTGGACACTTGGGCTGCTTCCATAATTTGGCTATTGTAAATAATGCTGCTATAAACATAGGGGTGCATATATACTTTAAAATTAGTGTTTTCATATTCTTTGGGTAAATACCCAGTAGTATGATTACTGGGTCGTAGGGTAGTTCTATTTTTAATTTTCTGAGGAACCTCCAGACTGTTTTCCACAGTGGCTGCACCAGTTTGCATTCCTACCCACAGTGCACAACTATTCCTTCTTCCCCACATCCTCACCAACACTTACGGTTTCTTTGACTATGGTATTTTAATATGCATATTCATAACTCAGGTTGCTTCTATTCTTAAGTTATTTCTTATACTGCTTGTCTTTTAACTGGAAGAGACTCAATAAGTCCTTTTAAGCAATTAGTAGCGTGGTCATTAATACTGGGCATCTAATATTAACAAATGATGAAACTTTTATTAAAGTTAATTCAGAGTAAACTTCTATTTACTTAGAAAGATTGAGGAATGAGTTAGCAGGTTGATTGGATATTTGTAGAATTCCCCCATAAACCATACATAGATTGGTATTTTAAAAATTATATTTGCCACTGAAAGTATACAGAACGACTTAGTGAGAATAGCTAACCTTTACTGAGCACTTACTGTGTGTCGGGCTCTGTGTAAAAAACTATCTAAGAATTTTTTCATCTGATAACAACTATAAGTATTCATATCTTACAGGTGAGTAACCACAGTTTAGAGAGGTTAAGTGATTTGCCCAGAGTCACTTGGCTATTAAATGACAGAGCCAAGGACTGAAACACAGATCTAACTTCAAAACCCTACTTCTTAATAATTTTGCTGTACTTCCTCTCTAAGACATAGAAATCTGGGTTGAGGGGCGCCTGGGTGGCTCAGTTGGTTGAGCGTCAGGTCATGATCCTGGAGTCTCGGGATCGAGTCCCGCATTGGGCTCCCTGCTCAGCAGGGAGTCTGCTTCTCCCTCTGACACTGCCCCCCCTCATGCTCTCTCTCTGTCTCATTCTTTCTCTCTCAAATAAATAAATAAAATCTTTAAAAAAAGAAAAGAAATCTGGGTTGACCATTCCTATCATCACATAGGTCCCTGAGGAAGAAGAGTATATTTACAAAGTGCTTAAAGAAAGAATGATCATTTTAAAATCTTTTTCTCTCTCGTTCAAATTGCATCATTTCTATTCACCTTTCTTCAAGTTTACAGACTCTTTCCTCTGTCAGTATTATCCACACTTCTGTATATAATGTTTCAGTTTTCCTCTGGTTTCTGATTATGATGTGCCTTGGTGGGTTTTTAAAAAATACTTATTCTGTTTGGTGTTTGTTGAGCTTCTTGGATATGCGAGTGTATAAATTTCATCAAATTTGGAAATCTTTCAGCCATTATTTCTTACATTTTTCATGTCCAACCCTCTCTTCTCTCCCCTGAGACTCCAATAAAAATGTTAGACTGCTTCTGTTGTCCCACCAGTCACTGATACCCAGATCAATTATCGGTAGTCTTTTTTCTTTCTGTGCATCATTTTAGATAGTTTCCATCAGTAGTCTGCAAGTTCATTGATCTTTTCTACATTGTCCAATTTCATCTAGTATATTTTACATTTCAAATACTGTTTTTTAATATCTACAGGTTTCACCCGAGTCTTTTATGTTTTCCTTCACCTTATTGAACATATGAAGTGTATTTATAATAACTTTTAATGGCCTCATCTAATTCCATCTAATTCCATTTTTTCTGTCATTCCTGGGTCTGATTGTATTGATTGATTTTACTTCTAGTTGTTGATCATATTCTCCTGCCTCTTTGCATGACTGGTAATTTTTGATTAGATGCCAAACACTGTGAATTTTATATCTTTGGGTACTAGATTTTTTTTTTAATCCCTTTAAGATATCGTACTTTGTGTTGGTTATAGTTGAGTTAAATAGGATCAGTTGGGTTCTTTTTAGGCTGGACTTTATGTCTGTTAGGACTCTTCCAAGAGGCCTTTAGTCTCAGGCTAATTTCTCTCCACTGCTAGGGCAATACACTTGTGAGAACTCTACCCAATGTCCTAGGTATTACAAAGTCTTTCTGCTGTGCCTAGTGGGAACATGAAAAATTCCCAGCTTTGTGTGGCCTTCAAGAATTATGTGGCCTTTTGCTGTTCAGTGTTTCTTTCCTTGGCCTTGGTTAATAGTTTTATCTCATTCAGGCACAGGTCACTTCTCAGCCAAAGACTCAAAGGTACCCTTCTGTAGGTCTTGTGTCCCTCTTTTCTCTGGTACTGTGCTCCACAAATCCCAGCTGCTTTGACCTTCCTGAATTCTGCTACGTTTCTCCTCAACAGAGCAAGATCATTGGGCTCTGTTCAGGCTCCACATTCCTATACTGTGGTCTGAAAACTGCCCGTAGGTACTAAGCTGGAGTAGTTACAGGGCTCACCTCATTTGTTTCCCCCTGTCAGGGATCACAGTGCTTCACTGCCTGCACTGTCTGAAAACTTGTTTCATTTATTTTACTGCTTTTCTGGTTATATGAGGGGGAGAAATAGATCCAGTCCCCATACTCCATCATGAATGGAAGAAGTCTGTGATTTGTCTTTAAGATCTTTTTTCATAGCAAAATCTTACTGAATAATTTCAAATCTAGTGCCATATTGTAAATAACATATTGAGAGAGCTGTGGATTAGGACTAAAATCAGGGTCCTAATCTTTGCTCATTTAATTTTGTGCTTCTCACAATATGGACTTCTTTGTCCCTCTACCCATAGGACTTAGAACAGTTCATTTGATTCTTCAATTTAGTTCTCATCTGCAAAAGGAGGGTTATGAATGTTTAACACTCGGAGGTGATATAAGGTGAGAACACAAGAAAATGTGTCAATTGGCTTAGGTTGAACTGTTTTCAAACGGAAGCTAGCTTGTTGTCATTTAATAGTATTATTTACATTTATTTTTAGGCACCATACTGGACATACCTTTTATGTGCACTGGGACTCTTTATCTACCAGTCACTGGATGCTATTGATGGGAAACAAGCCAGAAGAACAAATTCTTGTTCTCCTTTAGGGGAACTTTTTGACCATGGTTGTGACTCTCTTTCAACAGGTAAGTTAGTGAAGGTTTTTTTCTCTCTCTCTTTTTTTATTTTTTATTTTTTGCTGATGGCTCAAAAACTAAAATGAACTGAGCTGTTTGAATGGTCAACTTTTTGGGTAGGTGTACATTTGGGAGCAAATTTGCACAGTGTATTTTGAAAGTATATTCAAAAATTAATTTTGTTTAGTGTACCTTATTGTAATGCCAAGATTACATACTTTAAAACTGTATTTCTAAACAATACATGGCAATTATTTCATTAATTATTTTTAATTCTTAATGGTTCTTAAACCTTATTTTTTTCAGTATTTATGGCAGTTGGAGCTTCAATTGCTGTGCGCTTAGGAACTCATCCTGACTGGTTGTTTTTCTGCTCTTTTATTGGGATGTTCATGTTTTATTGTGCTCATTGGCAGACTTATGTTTCAGGCGTGTTGAGGTTTGGAAAGTAAGTATGTTTTTTAAGTTGTACATTTTAAAATATAGTTCAGTTTATTTTCACAATCTTTTATATTTTATTTATCCATAAGAAAGACAAAGCTTCAATCAGGAAATTTAAATTATCTTTTAAATTATTGGAGCATCCATAAATGCTACACCTTAATTTAAGTCTTATAGGTATTCTGCATGTTATAAATAGCTACGTATTTGATAATAATTTTATTTTTTCTCCCTTTCTCCACTTCAATAGCTTACTAACCCAAGCTTACATTATACAGGAGAAAGAAAAATAAGGGACCTGAATAATATAGAAAAAGAATATGCAGTACTTAAGTAAACAACATTTGACTTATATAATAAAATAATGACATATGGAATCTAAAGGTCCTTTTTGGTCAAATCTTCATGTGCCCAAAAAGGGGCACCCATTACATCAGTCACCAACAACAGGTAATTTTGAGACTCTTCAGTTGTGGTAGGCAATTGGTGAGTGTAAAAGCACCTTGAAAATGTTAGAGCTAAACATTAGATGATATATATGCGTTTGATGCCTCTTAGACACCAGGAAACAGTGCATGAAGCAGGAGCTCAATACTCTTTCTGTTTTCCATTAGCTCCCTCTCTGCCTGATCCTTCAGGAACTATCTGCCATTGGTTCATTCTCAGCTCTGCCTTCCCACGTCTACTGATTCTTTTTGGCCCCTCTTTTATTGCTGCATAGGAGAGACAGCTCTGGAAAAAAAAACCAAAAATCCAAAACCTCTGATGATGATAAAAATGAGAGAAGCTCAAATCTGTGGATCATGTAACAGAGGGAAGGCCTTAGGCAACTCATCACATTGAAAATTATGGGTAATTGCAGCTACGTGCACTTGCATGTTTCAGGCACTATACTGAGTACTTTACATGCATTATCTCATTTATTCCTCACATTAATCTCCACTGTACAAATGAGGCAGAGATTCTGTAACTTTCTTACACTGCTAATAAGTATAGAGTGAGGGATAAAACTCAAATCTGTTTGATTCCAAACCCAATATTCTTAGTGACTGCTGTTTAGACCCATGAGATCAGCAATGTGTTAGATTCTGCATTTTTAAATGCATTTTTTAAAAATCCCTGTTTTAGGGCGCCTGGGTGGCTCAGATGGTTAAGCGTCTGCCTTCGGCTCAGGTCATGATCCCAGGGTCCTGGGATCAAGTCCCGCATCGGGCTCCTTGCTCAGCAGGGAGCCTGCTTCTCCCTCTGCCTCTCTCTCTCTCTCTGTCTCTGATGAATAAATAAATAAAATCTTAAAAAAAAAAAATCCCTGTTTTAGGAGCTATATAGTACACTGTATTAAAGGGATGAGATAATACTCCTGTGACATTGTTAATACAGTCCATCACCAAGTGTAAAATGACTTGCTGTAGGTTTCCATAAGCACTGAAGAAATCCTAAGTAAGAAGGTAACTGTAGGCTGAATTTGTTTAAGAAAGCTTTTATGGAAAACGTGAGTCTTTAGCTGATTCCTTATCTACTGATCAAGAGCCCAAGGATCAAAAAGCCTGGCTAAAAATTCAAGGCAACTATGTGAAATTAAGAATCTGTATGTATTTATAAATTAAGATATGCTAAAATAGAAAAGTAGCTTTGCAAAATCTAATGCATTTTAATTGGCTGAACTTGCTATGGTAAACTAGAGTAGTATAATAATGCAGTGTTCTGGTTAATTATTAATGTTTTTACTATTTAATGACTAACATTTACCTTTTTGGCTTCTAACTTCATTAAAAATCTTTCTGAAATGAATTAGTTCACCCTGGCCTAGTTGTAAATTTTACACTCATTTGCTGTTGATTGAGAACCTAATGTGTGCCTAGAACTGGACATACAAAGATGAGTTACTTGTGGATGGACTATGCCAGACAAATTGGAGTAAAAGTACCTTAGGCAGAAGCATGAGGAAAGAAAGTTCTTAGAACATTAGGCAAATGACTATTGTGATTGAGTCCCCAGCATGTAGGGGCAGGAAGAGATCCTGAGTGCTGGGGGTGGGCAGCCATTTAAAATACTAACACTGTGGGGTGCTTGGGTGGCTCAGTCAGTTAGGCTTCCACGTCCAACTCTTGATTTTGGCTCAGGTCATGGTCTCGGGTTTGTGAGATTGAGCCCTGCATTGGCTCCATGCTGGGCGTGGAGCCTGCTTAAGATTCTCGCTCTCCCTCTGCCCCTCCCCCCCAAATTAATTAATTAATTAAATACTAACACTGGATGGCAGAGATCCTAAGTAGTATATTTTTTTCACTTTGTCAACAATATCATGGAGGTTGAGTAGGCTAGATTGATGGTTCAGCTTAACATTACAAGAAGGATCTACATGTAGGACATCAGCCTCGCCTTTGGCAGTGCTTACAAACTGTGTCAGTATCAATTATCTGTTGGCTTGGATGGATTTCCTGAAAATTTGTTACTTTTTGAGAGGCTAAATTTTTAAAAAAATTTTAATTCCAGTATGGTTAACATACAGTGTTATATTAGTTCAGGTATACAATATAGTGATTCAGCAGTTCTATACATTAGTCAGTGCTCATCATGATAAGTATACTTTTAATCCTCATCACCTATTTCACCCATCCCCCCACCCACCTTCCCTCTGGTAATCATGTTTATGCTCTTTAATTAAGAGTCTGTTTTTTTGTTTGTCTCTTTTTTACTTTGTTCGTTTATGTCTTAAATTCGACAAAAGAGTGAAATTGTATGGTATCTGTCTTTCTCTGACTCATCTTTCACTTAGCAAAACCCTCTAGCTCTGTCCATGTTGTTGCAAATGGCAAGATTTTGTTCATTTTTATGGCTGAGTAATATTCCCGTGTTTGTGTGTGTGATATCTTCTTTGTTCATCTATTGAGAGGCTTAATTTTTATAGTATTTATATTATTGGAATACAGAAGAGAAATAGAAAAACTATTCTATTTTACTTGTGGATGTTTTCATTGTAACATGTTTTATCTTTTGAAAATATGTGGATTTCAGTGCCAGTATGAATTTGTTACCTTGAATTAGATCATTTAAACTCTAAAACATTAATAAGTATTTTTAACTATAATTTCCTTTTTTTTTTTTTTAATTTTTATTTATTTGACAGAGAGAGAGACAGCGAGAGAGGGAACACAAGCAGGGGAGAGGGAGAGGGAGAAACAGGCTTCCCGCGGAGCAGGGAACCTGATGCGGGGCTTGATCCCAGGACCCTGGGATCATGACCTGAGCCGAAGGCAGACGTTTAACGACTGAGCCACCCAGGCGCCCCTTAACTATAATTTTCAACTGTTAAAGATTTTTCTTAATAAATCAGTGACACATTAATTAGTATTTTCCTTAGCATAATATAGGATTACAGCTAAAATCTGTCTCTATATTAATGTTTGCCGCATGAAATAAGGCATATCTTATTTATAGCATGTTTGCTCTCCTGTAGCAAGTACCTTGTGCAATTCTATAGAGCAATGTTTAAAGCTTAATTTTAAAACCTAAACCAAGTCCAATGTTTACTTGTATTATGTACTATTTTGTTACTTACCTGTGGACATTTAGACTTGGTGATAATTTTATTTCAAAAGCATGAGAATTTCCATATGGTATTAGGTTCATTTCTCAAAAAACTTTATGGTAAAGGACTAGTTTCTGCCCCTACCCTCAATCCATGGTGGACTAATAACATGTGGTTTAAAAATAAAAAACAAAAACCAACTTACAAAATACAGCCCTCAATATTTCATTTAATTCAACAAATACAAAATTACTCTGTCGAATTAGCATAGAAGTTTTGAAATGCTTACTCTCAATTTCTGAACCTATCTCATTGCAAACTGGTTACAAACCCTGGACCACACTTTGAATAACACTGTTGTAGATTGTCCTCCATGATAACAACTGGGGATTAAGGATATACTTGCACAATATCCCCAATATCCTTTAAAGGCTTTTTTTGGATCCAAAACTTGGACCCATTATTGAGTTCTCTAAGTTTGTAAATTGTTATACAGAATATTCTCTTATTTGTCTAATATATTTTTCAAGCTTCAACTGTTTCTTCACAGTTCAGATGTTTGAGTATTTGATAAGTGATTCTATTCTTTTTTATCTATCCTTTCAGCTTTTTTCTTCCAGACTCAAGAATTGTCATTTATTTAGTTTATCCTTAAAAGGCAGAGAGGGAGAATGAAGCTTTGAGTTTAATTTAAAATCTGTGGTATGAATGATGCATATGTGAAACCAAGGTTCCTAGCTCAATCCTCATTTGGGTCATTTAGTTCATTGAGAGAAAGCTTGTTCTGTTCCCTACCAGCTTTCCTAGTTGCTTCTGGTCACTAGTCATAACCTAGGAAAATTACAGATAATTTAATGTAATTCTACTCTTGTTACTGGAAAAAGAGCACAAAACTCTGATAATGACTCTAAGTGTAGTAGAAAGAGTGCTGGCTCTGAGTCATTTTCCTATGGCAATATTCAGCTGTTCCAGTATAGGCATGGAAAAATCATTTCAATTTCCCTCTCCAAAAATTAATTTATTGGAATAATTTATAGCTGATAAGACTCAGATGCTCAGTAAATATTAGTACTTTTCTTCCTTTTTTCGCTACAAAGTACTACATGTTATATTATTATGTTTACTTTTTTCAACTGACTTGCAGCCTGGAGGCCTTGGTTTGCCTGCCACTGATGTTATAAATACTGGTTATCATTTTTTATATTTTCCTTTTATTTGTGGGTTAATGTTCGGTTCACCTTCTCCTACTAACTGCCCCCAAAGTAACTTAGTCTGGAAGTATTTTCTTACCTGTCTGGTTTTATTTTGTCATGTAATTGCTACATATCTTATATTTGCAGAGCAGTAAGTATTCCTCTAGCATCTAAAGAGTCCAGGGCATCCAAGCAGAGATTTCAAGTAGATAGACAGATATAAAAATCTGGAGCTCAGCAGAAAAAAAAAAAAATGTGGATTTGGAGATAGGGATTTTGAGGTCCTTAGCCTATAAATGGTAGTCTAAGTATAGATATAATTGTTAAGAAAATCTAAAAGGAGAAAAGATAGAATTCTGGAAATAGTAGCATTTAAGACGTGGAAGAAGCAGCAGTCTAGGAACGAGCCTGAGAAGAGCTTCCAGCAAGGTAGGAGAATCAGGAGAGAGCATGGAATAAATAAGAACATAGCAAAACATTTTAAGAAAGAGGGAATGATCAGCATTTTAAGTATTGCAGAGAAGTTACCAAGGTACTAACTGAAATGTATCCCTTAGATTTGATAAATTGAAAGTTATGGTTTACCTTAAACAATTTTAGTAGAATGGGGCCGAAGACCAGAATACAGTGGATTAAGCAGCAAATATGAAGAGGAAGAAATTACAAATATGGACTACTTTTCAGTTAGCCTCTTTATGGAGCAAAGAAGAGGAATCGATAGCTTCAGGGAATGTGGACTAGAGACTGATGTTGGTTGGTTTAGTTGGTTTTTTTAAAAAAGAAACTTAAGTATGTTCATATATTAGAGGAAAAATGTCTGTGGAAACCAAAAAACTGTATTGACTGTTAGTAACCTAATAAGGAAAGCTGTTTGAATTTTCCCTACTTTTTAAGCGAAATTCACTTGGGAGTATTTAAGAATTGTCTTAAGTCATCTGGTTGTTTTTATATTATTATCTTTCCTCATTACAAGAGTAATACATGATTGTTATTTAAAAATTCAAATTTTACAGAAGTACATAAAGTAGAAAGTAAAATCCTTCTGTAATCTCAATGATAACTGCTCTCAGCAATTTTATACATGCTGTACAAGCTTTTTTCCCCTTGTGCATATCCTAATGTTTACCTATATGTGAGCACATGTTGTTCAGGGGGCTTTTCACTTAACGTGTAGATGGATAATTCAGTGATGGAACTAAAGGTATAAATAAGCTAAGCCTATAAAGACTCTTACATCTTTGATGTGTAACCTATAGTTAACTGACTTTCATATTCAGGAATTTTATTTACAAATACCTTTTCTATTCTTTGTCCTTTCTCTTTAGAGTGGATGTAACTGAAATTCAGTTAGCTTTAGTGATGATCTTTGTGTTGTCTACATTTGAAGGAGCAACAATGTGGGACTATACGGTAAATCTGAATATTTAAATTTATATTTAAGTACTTTACAAATATTTAGGAAAAAATGCATTGTTAATTTTCTTCAGAAATTCTTGGCATTACATTTAATGGTCATACCACTTTTTAATCTTTTTTCTTCATTTTATAATTTTACTATCCTATATACCTTATTTTGGCACTTTCCCTATGCATGAATATATTACCACATAGAAGAAAATGACCCCATTACCCTAATACAAAATTTTAACACACTAGTTGAACTACCTTTTCCAGGCTAAAATTTATCTCATAAAATAGATACATAAAAAAAGTAAATTCAGTAAAATATTTTATGTTTGAAACTCAATATTAGGAAAGAAAAGTTGATAGTCTGCATTTTTAATAAACTACTGTGAGGTGAAGGTTCTCGTATTTGAACCTCATACAATGTTTTATTTTCTGCTTGGTTGGCCTCAGTATTCTGATAAAAGTTAACTCTCAGGAGGCCAGTGTTACAAATCCATGCTTTGCATAGAAAGAGAATTTAGGAAGAAATAAATTATTCTGACTCTACAACCCAAGTCCATAACACCGGCTGACTCACAACCTCATGCCCATAGAATTAAGAATAATAAGGATAATATCAACAGCCAACAACTAACATTTACTGAACACCTTATGTTCCCACAATTTACCATCACTGTTTTATCTGACCCTCAGAACGATACTATGAAATAGATACTATCATTATTGTTCTATAAGTAAGTCTTAGAATAATTAAGCAATTTGTCCAAGGACACATAGCTAGTAAGTACTGGAATTAAGAAGACTGATTCCAGACTCTATGTTTTTAATCACTCAGATATATACCTCCAGTAAAAATAGTAAGAGATACAAAACTAAACATACTCTTACCATAGGATCCAGCGACTGTGCTCCTTGATATTTACCCAAATAAGCGGAAAACTTATGTCCACACAAAAACCTGAACTCGGATGTTTACAGCGGCTTTATTCATAATTGCCAAAACTTGGAAGCAACCAAGATGTCCTTCAGTAGGTGAATGGATAAATTATGGTACATTCAGGCAATGGAATATTACTCAGTGTTAAAAAGGAAGCACTATCAAGACATGAAAAGACATGGAGGGACCTTAAATGCATATTATGTAGTGAAAGAAACCAATCTGAAAAGGTGGCTATATATTGTATGATTCCAACTATATGACATTCTGGAAAAGGCAAAATAATGGAGACAGTGAAAAGATCAGAAGTTTCCAGAGGTTATGGGGGAAGGAAGGATAATAGACAAAGCCCAGGAAATTTTTAGGGCAGTGAAATTATTCTGTATGATACTATAATGGTGGATACTTGTCATTATGCATTTGTCCAAACTCATAGAATGTAGATATCACCAAGAGTAAACTGTAATATAAACTATGGCTTTTGGGTGATAATGATGTATTGGTGTGGGTTCATATATTATAACAAATTTAACACTCTGGTGGGAAATGTTGATAGTGGGGGAGACATTGGGGATGGAAGTAGGGAGTATATGGGGACTCTGTATTTTCCATACAATTTTGTCATGAATCTAAAATTGCCCTAAAGATTAAGTCTATTAAAAAATAGTAAAATTTCTCTGTGGCATTAGTTTCAGAATTGCCAGTTATAGTTCATATCACTGGCTCAGACTTGGAGCATATTTTTAAGTAGTGGTACATTTCCTGAGCCATTCATATTCCTTCTCATCCTGGAAGAATAATAGAATCAAAGATATGCTACTGTAGGCCTCTAAAATATACTAGAGGGATGTGATGTATGTTAGCTGCTCAGCTGGTTCCTTTAAAAAGGTGAATGTTGACCTAGAGGCAGTTAGGTTATTAAGTCAGATGTGGTTGTCTTAAATTTAATTGAATTAATTATAATGGGGAAGAATTTAATTTAATCTTAAAATCATTTCATTCAGTGTTTTGGCAATACCATAGGAAGAAAGCGCACCTGCGTATTCTTACCAAAAATAATACTTATTTAGATGTAGATTTTCTATATTTGTTAATCTGTAGTTTCCACAAATGTTGGTACAATATTTCAAAGTCTGTTTTCAAAACACATTAGCCTATAGCTTTTGGCAATTTATTGTTACTGTTTTTTAAATCCTTTGCTGCCTTTGGAGGTTTTCTTGAACAGCAAATTGACCAACAGGTAAATATACTGCTGGAGATTTAATCCTGGATATTAACTGCACAAAATTCTTGCATGCACACACATTGTGATATTTGTCACATTCATGATGCAGATCATGGTGTCTAACTTTTCCTGTGATGCTGCCTTTTAGAGGTACTAAATTCAAGTGAACTATCCTTTTTCATGTTTAAGTCAGATGAGGGCTTGTGAGATTAAATATTTCATCACAGTTATGTAAGTAGACTTCCCTGAATTTGGTGGATTCATTTTTCACTTAATGAATAAAACCATTAAAAGAAAATTTACCGCTATAGGCTACATCCAGGAGTTAAGGTTTGATTATAAGAAAAAGAATAGCTTATCATACAGGGCCATATCATAATGTTTCTTTACTATTTAATAGGAAAAGAAATTCTATTTTCTTAATGATTTGTTTCTTTCCTCTACCCCTAAAGATACCCATTCTAGAAATAAAATTGAAGATATTTCCAGTTCTTGGAGTAGTAGGTGGAGCAATATTTTCCTGTTCAAATTATTTCCATGTCATCCTCCATGGTGGTGTTGGCAAGAATGGATCCACAATAGCAGTAAGATATTAATTTCATCATCACTTAGTATTAATTTTATTACAAGTTTTATTATTATCAGATACAGAGATACTAAAAATATGCCAATGTTCCAAGAATGGGGAAGGGAACCAAATGTCTTTCTTTTTAGGCACATAATACAAAAAGTATTTTAAAAAGTTTTAACGACTGAACCACCCAGGCACCCCTCGTTCTCTTAAATGACATAAATTGGCTCTCAAGACAGTTTCAAAGGAATCCACGTAATTCATAAATTATCAGTCTTTCTGAATACATTTTATATACATAATTCTAAAGCAAAGTGTAAAACTTATTTAGATACAGAAGCCCTGATATAGGTGGAAAAATTAGTCATTTTCTGAGGTGTTTTGTCAGTTGACCTCAGTACAGTACTATGCATGAGGTACTTAGGAACACTTGTTGCTTGACCATGGATGATAAACTAGAGTGCTACCTGGAACATGAATTTTAATAAAGAAATGAAGATTTAGTGAGGATCAGTGTCCACTTTAAAGAATATTTTATTAAGAAATAATTGATAATTGGGTGCCTGGGTGGCTCAGATGGTTAAGCGTCTGCCTTCGGCTCAGGTCATGATCCCAGGGTCCTGGGATCGAGTCCCACATCGGGCTCCCGGCTCAGCGGGGAGCCTGCTTCTCCCTCTGACCCTCTCTCCTCTCATGCTGTTTCTCTCTCGCTCGCTCTCTAAAAAATAAATAAAATCTTTAAAAAAAAAAAAAAGAAATAATTGATAATTGTTTGGAGGAAGACAAAAAAATCAAACACTATGGCTAAGAAGTGATTGATTTTTAACTCTTTTTTTAATTTTTTTTAAAGATTTTATTTATTTATTTGAGAGAGAGAATGAGAGAGAGAGAGCACATGAGAGGGGGGAGGGTCAGAGGGAGAAGCAGACCCCCTGCCGAGCAGGGAGCCCGATGCGGGACTCGATCCCGGGACTCCAGGATCATGACCTGAGCCGAAGGCAGTCGCTTAACCAACTGAGCCACCCAGGCGCCCTGATTTTTAACTCTTAAACTGGTGATTTTCCAATGTTTTTAGCAGATTTTTTTTTTAAGATTTTATTTACTTGAGAGAGAGAGAGCGAGAAAGAACACAAGCAGGGGAGAGAGGCAGAGAGAGAGAGAGAAGCAGACTCCCTGCTGAGCAGGGAGCCTGATGTGGGGCTCCATTCCAGAACCCCGGGACCATGACCTGAGCCAAAGGCAGACGATAAACCGACTGAGCCACCCAGGAGCCCCAGAAGCAGATTTTCTTGAATAAAATCTACAAAACCATAATATAGATAAGAGCACATTAGTCTAAATTTTTATAACTTATTAACATACATATTTTATTATATACATATGTACATTTTATTATGTATATTATATACATATGTATACTATATATGTAGTATACATACTTTATTGTACAATTTGAATAATAGTATTTATAATTACTGTAATTTTTTAGTAAATTCTAACTTATGTAAACAATAAACAAGAATAATGCTGTTTTAATGAATATATTTAAATTGGTAGTTACAGATTTAGTAAACCTTAATACCAAATTTATTTCAATATTTTGTTTAGGATGAGCAGTAGTGAGAAAATCCTGATTCACATAGATAAAAATGTAATGGGTTGGATTTACAGTGTTACACAAGAGAGCTTTTGCAGTCTAAACACAAAAAAAAGGCAAAGGTGGGGGGTGTTGGTATATAGAGAGACTGGGGCAGAATTAAACTTTTCCTATCAGGGGTTATTTTGTAAGATTGGCAGGTTGGGGTGCCTGGCTGGGTCAGTCGATAGAGCATGTGACTCTTGATCTCGGGGTATAAGTTCAAGCCCCACGTTAGGTGTAGAGATTAGTTAAAAATAAAATTTTAAAAAATAAGTAAAAAATAAAATAAAATTGGCAGGTTAAGCTTTACTTCAATATTTGCACAAAATAGGTTAACTTGGCAATCAAATGTTGATGGCCTTCAGCACAGTAAAATTTGGTGTAGAATAAATCATATTTTTTAGTGGTAGTTTAAAATGTGTGTATATATAAAATTGAAATCACACATCTGTGGCACTGTATTACCTCTGTGTAACCCTAGGGTTTTGTGGAAGTTTGAAGACAGTTAAGGTCTACATACTCCATTAGTCCATATACTCCATTATATTCTTCTTTAGGTGTCTAGTTCTTAACAAAATAGATGTTCAGAAAATGTTTGCACTGTGATAAATGCAATGTTAAAATATGATGCTGATTTTCTGATTTATCCCTTAGGGCACTAGTGTCTTGTCACCTGGACTCCACATAGGAATAATTATTATATTGGCAATAATGATCTGTAAAAAGTCAGCAACTAATGTGTTTGAAAAGCATCCTTGTCTTTATACCCTTATGTTTGGATGTGTCTTTGCTAAAGTTTCACAAAAATTGGTGGTAAGAAATTCTTTTATTTATATTTCATGGTATAAATAATGTACTTGGTCCTCAAATACAAGTCTGGAAACTATTTCATACAATGGGTAGGTTTTTAATGGTGTTATCATTATAATAGTTAGCTATTTCTGCTCCAAGTAAAACTGTGAATGGGTTAATGTTATATTCAGGGAGATAGTTTCCTTTCTGTATGCTAAGTTCTTTTAATTATCTGTTTAGTTACAATTATCAACTATAACTTTCTGATATCAAGGAATTGAAATATCAGGAACTTTAATGAGCTACCCAGTCATGAATTTGAGAAGTTTTAGAATTAGTATTTCCATATTAAATCCAGATAAATGGTCTCTTTATCTTTGTCTTAATAGTGAATTAAAGTTATAATTCTTTCCTGAAAAATAAAAGCTAAAATATTTAAAATTTAATAGTGAAATTATTTTGTTTACTTTTTTATAGATAGCTCACATGACCAAAAGTGAACTGTATCTTCAAGACACTGTCTTTTTTGGCCCAGGTCTTTTATTTTTAGACCAGTACTTTGATAATTTTATAGACGAATATGTTGTTCTTTGGATAGCAATGGTAAGTTCTTTTCCTGCTAAGATTTTTATTTATTTTTAATAGATGTCAGATAACCCTATGCTTAAGAGTCATTTCAGTGAGAAGGCAGATAGTCTTACTATCTAGTCTATACTGTAAATGTTTCTGAATATTTAAAATTAACTCCTTTTAAGCCCTGAATTGGGGGGTGGGGGGTGTGTGTGTGTAAATTAACTCCTTTTAAGCCCTGAATTGGGGGTGTATGTGTGTGTGTGTGTGTGTGTATATAGAAATGGCCCAGATTATCTGGGCATCAGGCTTCCAACAACTTAAATCCTTAAAAACCCAATTGTGTACCTTAAAAATATATCTTTCTCCCTCACCGAAAACAATACAAAGATGTCAAAAATCACTTCACTCTGCCCAGAGAACTGCAAATACTTATTAGGTGTCTGACTTTTACTTAATCAAGCTTGTTAGAATTATTCCGAGCTTATAGCAGGGAACAGGTATATTAGATGGAATTAGTGTTAGAACATGTGGGCATTTATTGCATCAAGAACTGTCAGCTAATATTGAAGAAATGAAACAGAAAAGACAATACTACCAAGTACAGGATTCTGGGACCATTTTGTGTTAGAAGTAAGCAACCTGATATATCTGTTTGGCTCTTGAGGACAGTGTATAACTTACAGCAATAATGATGACTCATCAAGCAAAGGTTAAATTCTCATTGACTATGTCCTGCTTAAGAAAGTGGTACAGATAATACATATATTAGTTTCTATTCAAAATTATTATAAAACACAAAATTATGTGCTTAAGAGAGCCCTAGCCATCTGAGGAAAAGAAAATCACTGTTGGTAACACCTTAATTACAAACATGGATAAAGGGAGCATTATTCAGTTTTTTATTTTATTGAGACATTATTATGGTCTTCAATTAATGGTGGTTCTGAACAACTTTGCTCTGTTTTCCCTTACCTTTGGACCTCAGTGGCTTTCACCTAATTGTTAGTGATACATAAACACCTATTAAAGTGTGCTAAAAGAAATCCTTCAGTGAATCTCTTGATAATTTGAATAATCTACCCTATTTGTAGGCACTAAATATAGACTTAGGCACTAAAATATACCTGTTCTGTGCACAGACCAGGAGTACATCTGATGATTCTTTATACTAGGTTCTATAGAATTTTTTTCTCTGGAGTAAATAGCTTAATATCCATCCATGGCCTATTCAGAAGTCTTCCATTCTTCCAATGGTGGTGAGATGTAAATCTTAATCCTTGGAAGTTTTTCAGGCAATAGTCTAAAAAGTGTTTGGGGGCACCTGGATGGCTCAGTCAGTTAAGCGGCTGCCTTTGGCTCAGGTCATGATCCCAGGGTCCTGGGATCAAGCCCCGCATCGGGCTCCCTGCTCCCTCTGCCTGTCTCTCTGCCTACTTGTTCTCTCTCTCTCTCTCAAATAAATAAATAAATAAATCTTAAAAAAAAAAAAAAAAAAAAAAAAAGTGTTTGAAAATCAGAATAATTTCCTATCCAGTGTACATATTTTTAGGGCTCCAAAACAACCTAAATTTAAGAAATAGGGGGTGATTATTCAAAATGTCTGAAAATTCAATGTAGGGTTTCTTTTACTAAGCTTGCATATGTATTACCAAATGGAATTGTTTAACATAATTTAAAACCAGGTGTTAAAAATTCAAGCACCTATTTTGTAGTGAGTGAGTTGGCCTGGTTTATGCCAGTGGTAGAGATTATGGTGAGGAAAGTGAATTGCATTTTTCTCTAAAACAGTATGTGGACCACAATTTAAAACAATATAAAACACTTATGTGGACCAAACAAAACATAATGTGCCATTTAGCATCCTTACAGAAAAGCTTCTTACTTCAGAGAGAAAAGGGTCAGATAGAGCTTTTCGAGTAAATGATATGGGGGAGATTTTCCCCTAATGGGTGAGAATTCCCTCTCCACTGACAGCTGTGAGCCTCCCTCTCTGAAAGGAAGCATTTGCTCCTGGTCTTTGGTAAACTTTTTAGAGTGTGCTTTCCTCCTTAATTTTGTATTCAACACAATTTTGTATATGCCTCCCCTCAACTAAGGTGTCTTTTCCAGGCCTTTACTTTCTTACAACTATCTCAAAGGAAAAAGAAATGTATATGATGGAATGATTTTATTAATAGTGACTGGTAGCTCTTCTAATAGAAAATTTATGGCTTTGTTGCATAGCAGAAAATTTAAAGAATGTGGAGTCAGAAGACCAATTATGTTACCTTCCAGCTTTTGTATTTTTGTCTAGGACTTTTACCACTCTGAGCCTCAGATCATATCTGTGAAATACCTTGCATGTTCCAGAGGATTTTAGTGAGGTCCAAATATGAAATATATGAAAGTACTCTAAAATGTAATATTTTCGTTGAAGAATTTTAGGTTAAGGTTTGAGATCTGAGGGGGTGGGAAGGGTGGGAACAGAAAAATATCTGCTGCTTCAGAAAAGATAGACCGTAATACATTTCATATTATTTTTTTTGCTTCCAAAGGTCATTTCTTCATTTGATATGATGATGTACTTTAGTGCTTTGTGCCTGCAAATTTCAAGACACCTTCATCTAAATATCTTCAAGACTTCATATCATGAAGCACCTGAACAGGTTCACAAGCATATTGACTAATAGCCCAAGGAAAAGAGGAGAAGCAGTTAGGGGACCTATGAGTGAAGGAAATTCCCCTTTGCAGGAGGCTAGTATACAATATATAAGGTTATATTTGAATATAAAACATTAAGTCCTATAGATTCCATTATGTTTATTTCAGTTGTGAAGCCCTCATTGCGTATCAAAATTTTGATCACAGGTATTATCAGAGTATTACAGTCTATAAATTAGTTAAAAACAAAATCAAAGGAAGAAATTTCAATTTTCTGAGGACAAGAAAGTAAACCTCTATAGTTGTAAAGATCAGTCTCTTTGTCTCAAAAATCTTTATCAGATACTCGGGGTTTTCATTGTTAAAGGACTACATAAAAATTCAGGGCTTTAAAGGATTTTAGCCATCTTAAGGGTGAGGGCTTACTTCAGTTGCAAAAAATTGACAAGTGAGTTCATAATACTGCGTAAGTGCATGGATTGTAATACTGTAATTACTGTGTCAAATGATGTTATAAGAAATGGTGTTTTTTAATTAGCCATTTTTCAAGTTGTGTTAATTATTATCATATAAAAGGAAATACTTGTTTGCAACTAGAATTTTAAAGGGCTATTGGAATTTTCTATAATTTATGTTTAGTAAAAGGAATTTGTCTTACCAGTTCAGAAAAACAAATGAATCTTTATACATCATTCCTTGATATTCTAAGTTAAAGTTTCATTGTCACAAAAAAAGACATTAAAGATCCCCTTTTATGAAACATAAAAAAGTAGCTAAAGCAAAGTTGTTGTAAGAAAATTAGTAATTTATGGGGTACCTGGGTGGCTCAGTCAGTTAAGTGTCTGCTTCCGCTCAGGTCATGATCCCAGAGTCCTGGGATCAGCCCAGGTTTTCAGGCTCCCTGCTCAGCGGGGAGCCTGCCTCTCCCTCTCCGCCTATTCTTTCTCCCCCTACCCCCACCACCTTGTGCTCTCTCGCTCACTCACTCTCTCAAATATCTTTAAAAAGAAAATTAGTAATTTAATGACAACATGGAAAAAATATCTTCCCTTTAGACTATCAGCTAAAGCTACCTCAAAAAAACGATTCATGAGGAAAGGGGGATAATATAAATGTCAGTCATCCCATCACCAAATACATTATGTACTGATTCTTATCTTTCCACTCACTGAAAAGTATTTAGGTTGCTCATTATGAATATTGGAACCATTATAAGGATCTTTGTGACTCAGACTCCCCATCTTACCTTATTTTTAATTTTGTCTAACAGTTCTATAGACCATAAGCCATATGATGAAATAATCAAAAAAAAAAAGTAATGAACACATACTATATCTTAAGCAATAAAAAGGCGTATTGAAAAAATAGTGGAAGTTGATATTCCTTGAAAGGAAAAAATATGTGAATTAAGTACACAGAAACCACTCTGGAGTACTTATTTTGCTTCTAACTTTAACTCAAACTCAGATAGGAATTTTTCAAGTGTTTGGTACTTAAGATTTATATTCCAACATAAACTTTGGCTTTAAAGAAGTCCTTTACAAAATTTAGGAACTGGCTCCTTAATGTCAGATAATTGTTAATTTCTTCCTATATAAGTTGTCATATTTAAAAAAAAGAGAATCAGTATGGACTTGCTTTTTAAAACTTGGAAAATCTGGGCGCCTGGGTGGCTCAGTCATTAAGTGTCTGCCTTCGGCTCAGGTCATGATCCCATGGTCCCTGCTCAGTGGGAAGCCTGCTTCTCCCTCTCCCACTCCCCCTGCTTGTGTTCTGTCTCTTGCTGTCTCTCTGTCAAATAAATAAATAAAATCTTAAAAATAAATAAATAAAAAATAAAACTTGGAAAACCTTAAAACTAAGGTAAAGGTGGGTTATAGGGGCAAAAATTAGAATTTAAAACATGAAAAAACAGGAGAAAACCAATCCTGTCCTCCTAATGGGGATATTTTTGTTTTGAATGATTCAACGAAAGCAATTTCAGCAAAAAATAATAAGTTTAGCTGACATATTTCAAACAAATGCTGAAACGATTTAATATTTATTAAATCTAGTGTTTCATATGTTATTCTATGTTTAAAAAATGCAGATTTTTAGTGACAAGGTATAAAGTTAACTGTTCAAGTTTGGAAATGAATGTAATCAAACTTCCATATATTTACTGAATATTAAAACTGAAAAACAAAATATTTTCTAGGTAATTTAAAGACAGATGTCAAGTATTTAAACCATAAGTAATTAGGTATGTTAATGATATGCTTTTAATCATTACTAAGGGCATGTGTCATTTAATTGTGGACCAAGCCCAATTAAACGGCATTCTGAGGTCTTTGTGGAAATGACATAGTCACAAATCCATGTCTTAAAACTGATACTTATATATCTTGTTTGGTTTTCTTAATGGTTTTTAGTAGTTTAATTTATTTCAGAACACAAACTTGGGTTTTTAATAAATTATATAAGTCAATAGAATAAATTTTCTTTTGAAATCATACTTTCGTTAGAATTGGCTGTGTAACTTAAGTATATACAGTAGAATGTACATATAACATATATTTTGTATATTTTTTCTCAAAGAAGAACAATGTAACCTTCTATAGTCCCTTTGGGACTAATACAAATATACTAAAGAAGCCAAAACCTGAAATTAAATCACCTTTATTGCTAAAAGTTAATTGACAAGTATTAAAGAGAAAAATTCACTATTAACTATTAAAGAGCTGGAAGCTTGGTATATATAATTTAGGAATTGCTACTACTCACATAACTGTTCAGCTTTATGTGAAGGTTAAAAGAAGGAGGGTTCTTGCACTTAAGCTAACAATTAACATGATGTATTATTTTAAACTAGAAATTTTAAACCACTCTAAAAGAATTACATGCCTCATAGCTAATGTTATAATTGTATCATATTACTTAGGTTCAAGTTCTTCCTTCAAAGAGTCATCAGAATAACATGGATTGAAGAGACTTTCGAACACTTGCCATCTCTTGCTGCTGCTGTTACATGAAAGGAAATATTAAACATTTGTTTAATTTTTAGATAAGTGTTATACATATTTCAGCAAATAAAATATTTCAATGCTTGCATTACTCATTTTTTTCAATTTAAAATATAATGACTTACAGTTTCCATCATAATTTTTTTTTGCAACATAGCCATTTCTTTTCTAAGTTCATTTTGTGCACCAGTAAGTAGATTATCATGATTCTTCTCCAAGTCCTCCATACTCTAAAACACAAAAGGCTAGTTCAGTTACAAACTACCACTTTTTATCTCAGATTCTAAACTTGTAGAATTAATTTTCAGAAGTAGGAACTTTTTAATATTCAAATAATGTACATTTTTTATTCCAAATTAAAATATTGTAAGTAATAGTGGAAACCAAAATACCCATTCAAGGAATAAAAGCATCAGACATGGATCAAATATTATAGGAGGTATAAGAGTAGTGTATTTTGCTCAAAATAATGGGTTAATGAGCTGCTAAGGTCAAAAGAGAACAAAAAAAAATACTGTAATTTTTAAAATTTCTAATAAGCTTTCTAAATATCAGGTAGTTATTATTATGACTAATCATCAATGTGATGTGAATTCATAAGAAGGAATAAAATGATCTGTAATATAACTTTTTTCAATTTATGAAAAATTAGGTTATAAATATTATTCATCTAACAAATAGTGATCCTACTATATAAAAAGTATTGTATTAAGTGTTGTGGAGAAATTAAAAAATATTAATACATGATCACTCCCTTATTCCAGTAAGAAATATGTAAACAGAAATAATGCAAAATTTTATAGTAGGAATGGAAATGCAACTTGTTGTGACTACATAGTAGAGAATAGGGATTGATTCCAATTTAGTTGGCAAAAGAGTAAGATTTCAATAGAGAAAGAAAAAGTAAAAGTATTTTAGAGCAAGAGCATAAGTAAAAGCATGGAAGTACACAATCAGTGAGTTTAGAGATTTAGAGAAGGCAATTATCTGGAGGGGTGGGAGTTACAGGACAAATGTTAACAATTGAAGCATAGAGAGAGAAAGAATCACATTATGGGAGGGTACCTGAATACCTAAGAACTGAAAATGAGTAAGTATCGATTTTTTCAGGAGTTAAGATAATATGACCGACCTATGAAGGGTAGTTTAGAGAATAGAAAAAAATCAGTTGAGGTTTAATAGTACAAGCAAAGAATGATGCGGCTGTAAACTAGGATAATAGCTCTGGGAATTAAAAAAAGGAACCACTGCAGAAGTAAAAATTACAGGACCTACTAATAACTGGATATGAAGAATAAGGGAGATGTAGAAGTCAAATATAATACTAAAGTTCCTAGCCTAAGTGGTAACATTTAGTGATAAGATTTAGAAGAAATCTTTTTTAGTACTTTATCAATCTTCACACCAATTAAATGGTTTTTAGGGAGCATTAGAGCAAGCTGATTGGAAACACTTAAAGTAACTCTGGTATACATACATATTAAGGTTCTTTAAAAATAATTGGTTTAGGGCGCCTGGGTGGCTCAGTTGGTTAAGTGACTGCCTTCGGCTCAGGTCATGATCCTGGAGTCACAGAATCGAGTCCCGCGTCAGGCTCCCTGCTCGGCAGGGAGTCTGCTTCTCCCTCTGACCCTCCCCCCTCTCATGTACTCGCTCTCTCTCATTCTCTCTCTCTCAAATAAATAAATAAAATCTTTAAAAAAAAAAATAAATAAAAATAAAAATAATTGGTTTAAAACTACTAGTTTACTCAGAGCATCCCGATTCCTTTAAAAGGGTGACATTTTAACATTTGAACAAGATTATCTAAAAGAACCCACATCAAAAAAAAAAAAAAGTATGTGCAGGATTCCAATGAACTCCTATAAACAGTTACTAAAAAATAAATATATATCTGTATGAGTAAGACGTCAATGCCAAAAACCACAATTCACTAATATGCATATGTGTCAGATAATTCTCAATCCACAACTTTTTAATCCTCTGGCTTTTTCATTCTATTATAAGTCTGGGCCATCTCTTATTATAAGATGGCATATAAAGCCATTTTTAGTCACTGTAATAATCCTAAAAGGAAATATGCCATAAAATACATATATATTACATTAGAAAATAAAAAATATTCCTCATTTTCAATTGAGTATTTTCTATTTAGCAAACACTGGAGATACAAAGACAAGTAAAAGACTACCTAGAAATGACTCACAGACTTTCTATTTTCAGTTAAGACAGAACTATTAAAGTATGAATTTTATGCACATTATATACATTTAAATAAAATTCCCAATTTACCATTTCCTGTTTTGGAAGAATCCCCACAAAAACATTAGAGTCATAAAGTAAAAATATATTTAACACTTAAAATGGAAAGTAGTTAAGAATTTAAAATATATAATAAGCAAAATGTTTTTTCCCTTAAACTTAGAAGGAAAAAATTTTCTTCTACTTCCAAATATAATGTTATATAAGAATGTATTACATAACCAAATACAACAGACCTTTATGAACTGCTCGTATAACTGTCTAATTGTTTTCAGTCTCTGGCTCTGAACAATTCTAGATTGTTGAAAAACTTTTTGTTGCTGTCGAAACATGTTCTACAAATGTAAAAGAAGAAAATTTAACAATTTGGGTAAAATTTAAAATTTAGTAAAAAATAATTCTACATTGAACTTAAAAAGGAATGGTTTTTAAATCAACAGTTTTAACTATTATGACCAAGTTCATCACTAATATACAACAATAATAATCCTACCAGTCATTTAGTACGAACACTTAACAATACTCAAAATAGTTTTGTTTTTGTTTTTTAATGTAGGCTCCATGCCCAATGTGGAGCCCAACACAGGGCTTAAACTCACAACCCTGAAATCAAGAGTCAGATACTTAGGGACCCCTGGGTGGCTCAGTTGGTTAAGCATCTGCCTTCAGCTCAGGTCATGATCCCAGGGTCCTGAGATCAAGTCCCACATCGACTCCAGCAGCGGGCTCCTTGCTCAGCAGGGAGCCTGCTTCTCCCTCTGCCTGCATCTTTCCCTGCTCGTGCTTGCTCACTCACTCTCTGACAAATAAATAAAAACTTAAAAAAAAAAAAAAAAGAGTTGGACGCTTACCTGAGCCACCAAGGCACCCCAACAATACTCGAAATATGTTTTAATTCTTGGTGCTTTCCGTATCAACATGTATGATCCTTCCAATGATGCTGATCTTTCAGTTTCTTGGCCTACTTTCCACCAATGGTTTTGTCCCCCACCCTACTTTAGCCATTCACAAACATGCTCATATCCTAGATTTTGTCATTGCCAATAACTACAACTTCTACATAGTATTAACAATAGAAAATGTCATATTAACTCTGTGTTAGACACCACTCTGAATTTTTTTAATTTATTTTTAAGATTTTATTTATTTGACAGAGACAAAGCGAGAGAAGGAACACAAGCAGGGGGAGTGGGAGAGGGAGAAGCAGGCTTCCCACGGAGCAGGGAGCCCGAAGTGGGGCTCGATCCCAGGACTCTGGGATCATGACCTGAGCCGAAGGCAGATGCTTAACGACTGAGCCACCCAGGCGCCCCTGAATTCTTTTTAAATAAACATATTATGTATGAACGCATTTAATCCCCAGAACGCATTTAATCCTCAACTCTATGAGACAGGTATTATTACTCCCCTTTCATAGATAAGGAAACTGAGACATAAAGATAATTTTTCCAGTTTCACATCTAGCATTTGGGCATACCAGGATGTGATTGCAAAGAGTATGTTTCCAGAATCCAGGTCTAACCACTCATTATTCATGCTGTTTCTCCAAACAGCCCACTATTCAACCACTACCTGCCTACCATTCTGACTCGCTCTTAGTATTACAACTCAGTAATCTCTATCAATACCTAAAATCTACTCATCCTATACCTAGTTTTCACTGTCCCCTATCCCTATTCCCATGTCCTCACTTTCTTCCCAGCTTAAATTCTATGGTCAATCATAATTACTCCTTTCATATATATATCCTGCCCTATTCTTACTCTGTCACACTTGTTTGGCTAAACCCCAATCCTGGAAAATTCAACTCCAGCTACTCTGCCTACGTCCCTGCAGCTGATCGTGACTGGAGAAAAGCCCACAATTACGCTGCTATGTCTCACTCTAAATTGTAATCACTGTGATCACAAGCCTAACTTCGATCCTTAATGCTGCTTGGAAATTATATTTCTCTAGTCCATTCACTGATCCACTCAAGAAAGTATTTTATACCTTCTCATTTGACCTCAAAAGGCAACATGTTTTTTCTATCATCCAAGGACCTTAATTATTTCACTAAAGAAACACAAGTAATCCAAAGAGAACGTTGAATCTTCATCACCATTTCTACCTACGTACCTACATCTGTGCTCACATACTCTACCTTCTTCCCTGTTTTTAAGGATGAACTATCCTTGTTCTCTGCTACCACCAATTTCTTCATATGTTCCAACCATTCTAAGAATTCAACAACTGTCCTCCTCTTTCCATTACTTTTTATTTTTCCCTCAAAATTATTCTTGTTAGCACACAAACATGTTGTTCTTTCTACATTCTTAAACAAAAACCACACACTATTCCTCTTCTACTCAGGCCACCACCCTATTTCTTTCTTTCCTATTCTCTCTTATACTCATTCTAATCAAGTTTTTGCACTCCCTTTTCTACCAAAATCATTCTGATCAAGAACGCCAACAACCTTGACATTGCCAAATCCACCCTATTTCACCCATTGCAGCATATAACAAAGTTAATCCTCTCTCCCTCTTAAAAGGCTTTCTTGACTTCACTTGGAGTCATTTTTTTCCTATTAGGTCACTCATTCTCAGTCTCTTTTACTGGTTCTCTCTTATCTTCTTGAACTCTAAACACTGAAGTACTTATTCCAGAACTCAGTTCTTAGACCTCCCTTTTACATTTACATCCAATCTCACGGCTTAAATGCTGTCTTTATGTTGAGAATTTCCAACTTTGTATGTTCAACTCATCTCTTTTCAGAACTCTATAGACTCCTATACCAATGGCCTACTCAACACATTCTCTTGGATGTTTCATATTAACATTTCCAAA